CATCTCATCTGAACTGCACAGGGTTAAATTAAAGCCATTGCTCTGTTAAAGCCAGGCTTTGAATAGGGAGATTTTTTTGCCAAGAAGTGATAAATTCAAGCTGCTCTTGGACAAGCCCTTGCAGCCCAGGCTGGAAGGTGTCAAACTGGAAAAAAATCCTGCCCCTGGCAAGGCCACACAGATCACCCTAACTCTTTGTGGCCCTGTAAAATAGGCACAGATGATGCATCCTCGCCAAAGCTCCCAGAGAGCGAGAGCTACACATGAAATATGCTGAAGGGGAGCAAAACATTATTTCCTTCCCCTGAGTTGTACTTTTGAAAGGCTTAAAGCTTTGGACAGTACAGGTTTGGTGCTCAAAGTTAGCCCCTGCACAACTTTGCTTGTTCTGAGGTCTGCAGTCTTCTTCAGATGAGATTTTAGACTGTGCAACTAAGCCATTGTGTTTTGTGTAGAGGAAGGAAATTTTTGCAAAATCTTTAGTGCTGCAGTGGTTGCCTGCTGCACTGTTATGAATGGAGTTGTCCGTGACTGTTCATGTACCCAGATCTTCATACTGAAAATATAACAGGAAAGATTCTTAAGGGTTTAGGGTATCAAAATAACTGTGCATCTAAACTACAGCAATAAACGAATCCATTGCCTTTAGTAGTAAACTAATCCATTGCCTTTATCAGATGTATTCTGGGTGGCTCTTGGGATGCAGAAAGCTCTGGGTGCCAGCAGAGGGCTTGCAGGGTTCCCTGCTCCATCGGGGCACACCACTGGCTTTGTCCAGAGCAGCAGCCCTGCCGGCCCATGCTTCACCGTGTGTCTCCAGCTGAGCACTGCATCCAGGTGTGGCCCCCAAATGAGGGGCTCTGCCAGCTATTCGAGTCTTGTCATTTGGTCTTATGCTACAACTACCTAACCTCCAAAGAACTTCAGTAAAGCAGTTTAGGTGCTGAACCCAAAAGAAAACCTTCTCTCCACTAACAAAGATCTTGTATTCTTTCCTGCAATGTCTGTTGTGAAAAGTTGTGCGTGTTATCTGCTGACAGTTCTTCTAGACCTAAATGCTATCAGTCAAAATGTGATAGTGCCACCTAAGAGGTAAGCTAGTTAGGCTTTGTAAGTGCAATGATGAAATTTAGAGGCACAAATAACAAGGCTGGCAGTTTGAAAGCAAGGGACATCCTGTGATCCTTTCAGGTTAGATAGCTCCCATTTAAAGGGAACCTAAAGAACTGCATGGATGTAAGATTTGGCAGATCCTCAAGTACTTGCTTTTCCTTAGCAGTTTTCTTCTTTTGTTCACCTACTCCTTGGATCTCTGAACCAATGTTCAGAGAATCAAAGACACCAAGGAATTATACTTTCCAGAATAATTTTCTACAATACCTTTGCACACCCTCCAAGCTAATTTTCCTCACCCATTTATATCACCTTGCTTGTCATTGAGGCCTGTTGCCATCTGGATTATCATTGCTGTCATCATTCCTAGCATTTGTATTTATTGGGTGGACTTTGAGAATAGTAAGCTTGTTGCAAGGCTTTAAATAAAGGAACTGTATGTACTAATTGGTCATAAAGGCAGCATACATTCCAAGACTGTCAGTGCTGGATTTCTTGAGATCAGTAGGGAAGATTACAGAGGTTAGGTTCTACCTGATGGCCTGTATTCTAACACTTAATTTAGGTCCTGCTTCTTCTCTGATTTAGTGCATTCCAATCTTCACAGATACTTTTGGCTCTAGGATCCTATAAGCTTTTTAGCACTTCTGTTAATCTCCATGTAAAGGAGATTTCCCTCTAGCTTTAAAATCCACTTCAAGGGGTTGTCCTGAAATATAAATAATTTTTCATGGCTAAGAAATTTTTATATAAATATGCTGTGCTGAGGGAAATCCAAAAGCAGCTGCTCTGTTGCTTCAAGAAGGGAAAGAGGCATGTGAGTAGAAACAGATGCAGCAATAGAGGAGGAAATGCAAAGCACAGGGGTTTTATTTTAGTATTTTATAATTAGAAATTGGCAAATTACATAAAGGGGTGATTGAGTAGTTCACAGAGTTAGTAACAAAACAGCCCTGAAATCCAAGGACAGGAGTTCAAGGAAGTGTGGGCCTATAGGTATGAAAAACCCTTTTCTGACTTGGCTTTGAGGAGCCAGGGTTGCTTCTCTGCCTGCTCATGTTCATTTGACAGGCTGCAGTCACCAGTGGCTGGGCACTGCTTTCATGCATCTCATTTCAGCAGAAGTCCTCATGTTATTTTCAGCAGAATCTGTGTTTTAGTAATTCTTGACTTCCCATTTGACTTTTCTGACAGGACTAAGACATGGGAGCAAATGGCTCCTTGCTTGGTAGGCTCTGACTTCCTACAGATCTTATGTTGATGCTGAGTAAACCCAAGGATTTTTGAGAGAAATTTAGAAGCTGAAGGTGGGACAAAAACAAAACTCAGGATGACAGACTGTTTTTGACCCCAGTATGGAGTACAGCTGGCAGGAGGCCAAGGACCCAACACGTGTCTCAGTCATCTCCCATATATCTGATAATCTGTCTACTGTGTGTGTTCTTTTCTAAGTACTATATCAAGAAATTTAACTGTTCTCTGTGTCTTTCTGGTGTGTGACAGTATCTCCTCAATTTCTAATTTGTTTTCTTTATACTTTTTCTGCTTATTCTTTTTCTAAAAACCATTCAGTCACTGATATCTTCCTCTTTGCTACCCAGAGACCTTATGACACCAGTCTGCCATACAGTACCTAATTCCATTATCCTGCATTTATCTGAGTTTACAAATTAAAGATGCCATGGACTGTGATACAAGTTTTAGTTGCAGACAGCTAAAGCTACAGCCCTAAAGTCATTCTAGCCTTAATACAAGATGTAGGTGACATATTTAAGTTAGGCTTGACTAACTCAGTAATGTCTTAACCATCTGGAAATTTTATTCCTTACAGTGCTAAAGGGATAATAAATGATGGTTCTCTGAACAAACCCAGATTGCCATCCTAAAAGTTTCCTGTACATTTATTTTCTTAACTTTGTTTTTCAACTGCTCTTTGATCAATGATAGTGATTACCTCTGTGTAATTTTGATTTCTGTATAATATTGTGGAGAATTTTATAAAGATATTTTCAAGTCTTATCAGCCCAGAAGTTAATCTTCTGTACTATCTCACTGTTTTATTGTTAGAGTTCTCAGACTAAGCAATTGTTGAACCATAATAGTCTTATTCCTGCTCCATTTCACCTCTGCCCTACTTGCACTGCTGTCACTCATTGCATTCCTAATAACATGTAGATTACAAATTTGTTACACCAAATTCCTCTGTTCATTCTGTTGTTTCAGTGCAGAGCTTCGAGCTAACTTTTGTTGCCTAATTTAGAAACAAATGGGATTGAAAACCTCTTTTCTGGCTTTTGATTCTGAATTTGCCTCTCATATTTATTATGTAAAAGGGCTACATTATGACTATGCTGTACTGTTGTGAGAAGCACCCCAGCTGAGGTCCATTGGCAAAGCTGTGGTCTGTGGAGGGAAAGAGTAGGATGGTTTGCAGCTCTGCCCTGTGGAACTTTGAGCAGAGTACATAGGGAAGACTGCACTGGCTCTGCTCATCTCCAGCTCTGCTTCTGGCCACTGCTGGGAGTAGGAAACCCAAGCAGGTGAGAAGAAACAAGCTCTGTGAGGATACACAGCAAGAACCACTTAAACTGACATTTGTGCTCCTTGCAATAATTTGTGCAAAGCTTTTTTGTTTTGGGGTTTTGTTTGTTTGTTTTCTTTCATGGTAAATAAGAACCATAAAGGTATCAAAGCCGTCTGTCTTTGCCCCTGACAGTAGGTAGATAACTCAGAGGACAGCAGCAACAACCTCTGACAGTGCTCCACCAAGTGTGTAAAAAGGCTATGTTATGATGCAGCTATAAAGTAAATAGAAGGCAGAAAACCTTCACTTTTTCATATTCTGTATTCCTTTGTTTAAGGAGTACAACATCCAAAAGATGCTGCTCCCGTTTTTCCAGATGAATTTTGACCTGTGTATTAAACGCTGGAAGGAGGCTGAACATCAGCAAATCTGCGTCCTTGTGCTGAGGAATGTTTATGCAATTTAGGTAACATGATGCTAATTAAATGAATTGTAGATAATAAATGATCTCCAGGCAGGCATCTCCCAGTGGTGTGTTGCTCAAGTAATGGGAAAACAAGCGCTGACTCATTAACTGCGAATTCCTCATGAGAATGGAAACAAACACCACTTTTGGCTCTTTTACTTCAGTGACGCCGAGATGTTTTAATTTTCACTTCACTGGATATTTTCACTCTCTAGTGTGCCATGTTGTGAGAAAAACCATCAGAGGCCAACCCAAACGAAACCCAAACCGGTTCCTCCTCCAGGACTCCACCTTGGCACCTCTGGCGGCGTCGGGCACTGCCCACCGGCTCACAGCCTCCCCCAGACCACAGTTCTGCTCAGCCCACGTCCCGTTCATCTCTGGCGGCCGAAGGC